CTGTGTAATTCCCTGACTGAATCCTTTTCCCCAAATGGACATGGTGCTAACCATTGCACTCCCCACACCCCCAAAGCATTGCACCTTGTCTGGCATGTAGAAAGTGCAACAGTCAGGCCCTGAGGCTGCGGCTCATGCCCGTCATCCCAGCACTTTGTGAGGCTACAGTGGGAGGATTGCTTCTGAGGTCAGGAGTTCAATATCAGCCTCAGCTATATTGCAAGACCCCATCTCTATAGAAAATGAAGAATAATTAGCTTGATTCGGTGGTGTATGCCTATAGTTCCAGATACTTGGGAAGATCTCTTGAGCCCAGGAATTTGAGGCTGCAGGAAGCCATGATTGGGCCACTGCTCTGCAGCTGGGCCACAGAGTGAGACCCTTTCTCACACATCAAAGAAAATAAGAAAAAAATCACTTCAGTCCTCTACTCATATAATAAGGAGCACAACCACAGCCTTTCTCAGTTTAGGATTCTGTTTCCTTACCTGATTTGGGGAAAGTCACTGTTACAACATCTTCATCCTTCAGCACAAACTCTTCTTGTACTTTTCTGAGAACTTCAGGGCTCCCATGAGCCCTCGGGAAAATGATCCCTTTATACCAAAAGGTGTCGTCTGACATGATGATCAGCTCCTTGTACTCGGTGTGAGGGTTTCAGGTGCAGCCAGTACTGGAGGCTGTGGCACCTGCTGACAGATGAGTTGTGAGTTAATCTCTGCCCAATTAGTTATGCATTTTGCTGGCTGGTACAGAGAAGTAAATATTGTGACTGACAGTCCAAAGGTTAATAATATAGGGCAATTGTGAACTCAGAAAACACTCTGGGGGGAGACTGAGTCTGAGTACATAGGAGTGAACTGGACATTCAGTAACAAAGGCAAGGACATAGAAATCTGTGCAAATCTGAAAGCACTTTTTATAAGAGTTGCACAGTTACAGAAAATTTCCAAGAGAATCCAGAGAGTTCCCATAGTCTACAGTTCATTCAGATTTCCTTCATTTTTACCTAATGTCTTTTTTCTGTTTCAAAATCGCATCCAGGGTGTCACACAACATATATTGGCCAGCATCGCTGTCCACATGGCCATTTCTGGGGCTTAGAGCACAGATGTCAGGCAGTGCTGCCCTGGGGAAGAGCTCGGATGGAAGGAGGGGAAAGTCTGTCCCCCAGGGCCTGAGGCTAGACCAAGAGTTGTCTGAAGCCAGCAGGCCTGGTCACGGCTCCACTGTCTCTGCCATAATGCACACACCTGGTTCCAACTGAACATTTATTTATTAACATATATATTAACTCCTGCACCCTGTGAGGCTTTCAGTAATAAGCATCCAGAAATGTACCAAATAGTCACTTCTATGTAGCAAGTGAATTTTTATCAGTACCATTCTATTCACATTTCCACACCTCAGGGAAGGTATAACACTTTCTGCTGTGAACAGCTATCACATAAAGTTATCTATTCCCAGTGATGTTATTTGGGTCTGTGTGATCTTTGTTGGGCCAGGAGAATAACAGCATGTGGAAGGGAACACGCTCTCTGAAAAGCAGACTGGGCATTCACAGTGCTGTGATGAGGAGCACGTGCTCTGGATTTAGACAGCCCTTTTCCTTCTCTACCCAGGGCCAAATCTGGGCTGGGAACTTGCTTGCTGTGTGTCCTTGAGCCAACAACTTAACCTCTCTGTGCCTCAGTTCCTCCTTCTCTAAGGTGGGGGAAATAATAGTACCTACTTCAGAGGGTTCTCAGGAACATTTGAATAATTTAACATTTTGTAAAGTCCTTAGAGTCTGACACAAAGAAAGCTAGAGTGCAGTGGCATGACCATAGATAGCTCACTGCACCCTCACAGTCCTGGGCTCAGGATATTCTCCTGCCTCAGCCTCCCAAGTAGCTGGGACTATCAACGTGCACCACTGTGCCCATCCTTTTCCTTTTTTGTAGAGACGGGTTTTTTTTTCCTGTCTCAGGCTGGTTTGGAATCCTGAGCTCAAGCAATCCTCCCACCTGGGCCTCCCAGAGTGCTAGGAGGACAGGCACGAGCCACCATGCCCGGCCAATATACTTCCGTTTTGATCAACATTATGCATTTGCCCTTAAACCCCAAAAGTATATGTTGATGTGTCTTTGCTTTATAGCTCTCTGGCCTGTGGAACTTGCAGTTCTCAACTGTATTTGCTGTGTTACTCTCAGTGTAGATTGACGTTGTTTCTGGAAATCTTGTTCTGTTATCAGCGGCTCTCAACCTGTAGGTCGCCACCCTTTTGAGGGTCGGGCGACCCTTTCAAAGAGGTCACCTAATGTCAGATATTTACATTAGGATTCATAACAGTAACAAAATTAGAGTTATGAAGTAGCAATGAAAATAATTTTATCATTGGGAGTGCCTACAACATGAGGAACTGCATTACAGGGTCGCAGCATTAGGAAGGTTGAGCACCACTCACATCAATGCTGATGCTGAGAGCAGCCTCACCCAGGGACGCCTGGAGATCTGGGGTGTGTTTTTGTGCGTTGTGTTTCCACAAAGAAAGGTCCTGTTTCCTACCTCATCAGGGAAGCCAAACTTCTCCCTTGCCCTTCCCTGTCTGTTCACTACCCCTAGTTATCATCTTGCATTACTGTCTGTAATACAAGAGGTCACTGTCCATGTGTTGGCACCAGATACATTCAAGCCCAAGAAGAACTGTGGACCCTGGACAGGTATGTTGGGCCTTTATTCAGCTCACAGTGGCCAGTGAGCAGGCATGGGGAGTCCAGAAAGTCCCCTGCACTACCATATCCGAGGGGAACAGTAGTGGCACAAAGCTGAACAGAAGTTCCACAGTAACCATGGAGTAGTCCTCCAAAGGTGACATCACTGTGCACAGTAACGGCTGTAGTTAGGACTATTGAAGGAAAACATGGCAGCTTCCTGTAAATTAAAAACCACAGTCCAGGAAGTCTACGGACTCCATCTAGCCCCAACTATCAGTATTTATCCCTGTATTGATACCCATATGTTATTGCTTATGCTGTTTCTAAGGTGTCATTGGAGGAGAGGGCAACACTATCGCTTGGTGGATGTTATTTTCACATTTAGCAACTATTCTGAGTTGAATTCTCTTGCCAAAAACATACATCCAAGTCCCAACTCTAGGTACTTGTGACAATGACCTCATTGTATTAGCAGGGGTGACTGAGTTCAGATGAGGATATTAGGGCGTGTCCTAATCCAATATGTCTGGTGTCCTTCTAAGAAGAAAAGACACAGAGAGAGAGAGAGAGAGAAAGAGAGAGAGAGACAATGCCCCTTAGGTCAGGAGGGGTGGCTCACACCCATTATCCCAGCGCTCTGGGAATCCACTCAGAGGATTGCTTGAGGCCAGGAGTTCCAGACCAGGTTCAATAACATAGGGAGAACTTGTCTCTACATAAAAATTTCAAAAGGCAAATTAGCCAGGCGTGGTGGCACACATTGACAGTACCAGCTACTTGAGAGGGTGAAGGCAGGACAAGCCCCTGAACCCAGGAATTCAAGGTTATAAAGAGCTATGGTTATGACTCTGCACTCCAGCCTGAGCAACAGATTGAGACCCTGTGTGAAAAAAGAAAGAAGGAAAAAAAAACATGCCACATGATGACAAAGGCAGAGACCAGTGGGATGCATGGCACCCCAAGGAACACCAAAAACTGCTCCCACCACCACACCTGAGAAAAAGACCTGGAGCAGACTCTCCCCTCAGCCTGCAGAGAGATCAGGGCCCTGCTGACAGCTTGATGCCAGACTTCTGGTCTCCACAGCTGTGAGAGAAGAAATTTCTGGTGTCTGAAACCCACCAGTTTCTGGGTCTTAATTAAAGTATCCCTTGAAAATGAACCCCCACCCCAAAGCCATAGACCATTTTTGACGCATTCAGACCAATGAAGGAATACTACAGAATTTCTAGCTTGTCCAAGCTGTGGCCTGCAGGCCAAATGCAGATGATGAGGACTGTATTTCTTATTTGTGGTATCCGATATCCCCAAAAGTACAGATAGACTTTTTCATTATTTTGCTAAGCAGCTTTCATTAGTGCTTGTATATTCGATGTGTGGCCCAAGACAGCTCTGCTCCCCCAGTGAGCAGCAGAACATAAAAAAGCTCAAATTTTTGAACAAGTGGATTAGGCAAATATGAGACCTTTTCCTACATTCCAAAATGTGAATTGCCGGGTGCTAGAGGCAGTAAGTGGCTTTCAGCATCTCCTCTCTGAAAACCCCCATCCCATGGGAACAGCTCCCAGGTCTGCTGGTCAAAGGCCCCTCCCTGGGCCCCAGAGGAGTGATTCCTCCAGACTCCACACATTCCAGATGTGGGAGAGGAGTTCTTGGGGGTTCATCCTGCTGATGGACTCATCCTGCAATTGGCCAGTGTCCTTTTTAGGCCAGGAAGGGGTGCAGTGGTGCACTCATACCTCCCTGTAACCTCTAAATCCTGGGCTCACGTGATCCTTTTGCCTCGAGCTACAGATTAGCTGGGGTGGGGGTGGGGGACTGTAACACTGGACTTTGCTAATGTTTTTTATTTCTTGCAAAGACTGGGCCTCACTATGCTGCCTACCCTGGTCTCTAACTCCTGGACTCAGGTGTTCAAATTGTTTTGGGGAATGCTCTTAGGTAATATTTTTATTATTTCTATAGCACTATATCGGTTTGAAACACTACACACATTTCAAACAACCTGGGATGCCACGACATGTGCTGGGGTATCATGGAGGTTTCCAACAAGGAAGTTGTCAAAGATACAAAGATGTGATCATTCAGGGCTCCGGGATGAGTTAGTAGGTTTTCTGCAATGACCCCCAGTCATGCACGTTTACTGGGACAGGAGAACAGTATCAGTATGCATGTAAGATCCAGGAAAATCTTAGACATTATTCCCAGGGGAACAGCTCCCGAGGAAGATCTGCCATCTTCTCCTGGAACAGTTCATCGAAGGCTTCAGCTTGGGCCACCGTGAAGTAATTTTTCCAATCCCCGGTTATGCCTAGAAAACAGGACACAGACACTCAGATCATTTCTGTGTTGATCAGACCTCAACACATCTCCTCCTTGGTCTGTTCCTACTGTCACCATCATGGACATTGTGGCTGACAGTGGAATGAGCAGTGGTCCATTGGTGGGCCCTTGTGCCTCCTGCCTGCACACCTGTTTACACTCCTGCCCTCCTGTATGCGACTTCTCACCTCCTCCTCTCTCCCAGCCCTGCCTGTGCACAGTCCCTCCACACTCAAACCCACTATGTCTGCTGACACACCCAGAGTCCGGCCACTTTCCATCATCCCTGTCACTACCACTACGACCCAAGCCACCAGCATTTCTCTCCTGCATTAAGATGACAGACTATAAGTGGGCTCTCTGCTTGGGATTGTTCCCCTGTGTAAGTCAGTCTAGATGACAGCCCCCTTGAGCCCTTATGGAG